AGGGACATATAGCCCCCGACAACATAGCTCCTAGGATCACTCAGGTACTCAAACCCCTCCACCACAATAAGGTGGCGGTTCAAGGAGGGGGCTCAGGCATCTGTTTTGGATGCCTCCTGGGCGCCTTCCTAGGGAGGTGTTCCGGGCATGTCCCACCGGGAGGAGGCCCCGGGGAAGACCCAGGACACGCTGGAGGGACTATGTCTCTCGGCTGGCCTGGGAACGCCGCGGCATTCCCCCGGAGGAGCTGGAGGAAGTGTCTGGAGAGAGGGAAGTCTGGGCATCTTTGCTTAGACTGCTGCCCCCAGGACCCGGTCCCGGATAAGCGGAGTAAAAATGGAAGGATGGATGGAGAATGATGAATGAATCCCTCTGATGAGTCTTGGACTACCCTGTGTGTGGAAAATGATGAGTGTGTCTGCTGCTCATATTTGTCCTGTAAACAGCATCATACACTCACATTCCAGGAGTGCGTGTTTGGAAACAGGAAGGGGAGCGAGAGAAATGCACAGAGAGGTCGTTCTAATTTGAGGCAGTTATTTTGGACATTTGACAACAGCTTATTGATTCAGGACCTAGTTGATAGTGTGGTGTTAGTGTTGTGTGGAAGCAGTTATCGCATTTTTGTCAATGTTTGATAACTGGGAAAAGAATGACCAAACCTCCTGAACCCTGGTCTGAACTTTATTTTAATAAATAACAAACTTAATTGTATATATTTAACAGGCTTTTTTCTCATGTGCTGTGGGAATACTGTGTACAGATAGAAGTGTAAAAAGGTTCTGCATTCCTTACACATGGCTCCATCATTTTCATCATTTTACAAACAAACCAGAGCTCCTGAAGTGTGTAGCTATTTTTTATAAACTCCAGCTGCTCCAGGATCAGCACAGTCATGACTAAGGTGCAGGAATCAATTCATCTTCAGCTGCTTAAAGTGACAGTGGTAACAAGTTGTTGCAAGTCCGTCCTTGTTGTCCTCTTTTGTAGGGATATGACCAAATATATGTCTTTGTTTTGAGCTGTAA